TTTTTGAGTGGAGTCTCGCTCTATCGCCCAGACTGGAGTACAATAGTGTGATCTTGACTCATTGTAACCTCTGCCTCCCAGGTTCAAGCAATTCTTCTGCCTTAGCCTCCCAAGTAGCTGGGACTACAAGTGTGCACCACCATGCCCAGCTAATTTTTGTATTTTGAGTAGAGATGGATTTTCACCATATTGACCAGACTGGTTTCGAACCCCCGATCTTGTGATCCGCCTGCCTTGGCCTCCCAAAGTGCTGGGATTACAGGCACGAGCCACCACCGCAGGCCAGGTCCAGGTTTTCTAGGATTTCTTTTCAGAGAAAGCCTAAAACCACACTCTCCCCACCTCAGCAATCTTCTCCATCTTTCTGCTCATTGATGCCTGAACTCAAATTCTTAGGTTTCATCTCTGACTTAAAGCTTGTGCTCCTACTGACTGTCCTCGAGATGTGAGAACAACACTTTCAGCTAATTTTTAGTTTAGTTAACCCCTTGTCAAAAACAGATGATTTGGGTGTAAATTATAAAAGGATATCCCTTAAAGGAGCAAGAAAAAACTAAGAAATATCCTCCTTGAGCAAGGACTGACCATAGAAAACAGCGTCTTCTGGACAGGATTGTCAGGGGTGCTGTGAATTCTTCACACTGCCTTTAACTTGAGAAGGCTTTGCGGGTATCTAGGAGGGATCTCAGAAAACCCCATGGAGCATATGGAATAGGGGGTTGGCATTTCAGTGAGTAATATCTCTACTTCCTGTCCTCACACACTATCCCTGCTCTTTTACATTTGCATAGAACAGAGCCTACTCGACACCCTCCTTCCCAGAGCAGTTGGCCCCAGAAGAAGGAGGGACGGTTCAACGTGCTCAACCAAATATTCTGCAAAAACAAGAAAGAAGAGCAGAGAGCCCATCAGAGGGATCCCAGCAGGGACCGATACAGACAGGAGGACACCTCGGAAGTCAATGACATCATCACCACCTTTGATAGCATCATGGGTACCAACTGCCAAGAACAGCCTGGTGATCAGGTGGCTATGGTTGAATTTAAGAAGAAAACCTCAGAAAATTCAAAATATCTCTTACCAGAAAAGAAACCGCTGGCCCGCAAGGGGCTTCCACCAATCAGAACACAGAGTCTCCCACCCATCACCCTGGGCAATAACTTCCTAACGGCCTCCCATGGGGCCACTTCCCATGCAGGGCCGAGCTCTGGACCTCATCATACGGCCCAGCGATCTCAGAAAAGTCGAAGTGAGCAGGATTTATTAAATAACAGAACTGGCTGCCAGATGTTACTAGATAACCCCTGGAGGAATGATTCTAAACAGGTATTTTCCTACAAAGTTTGGACTGTGTCTTCTTCTGATAAGCTGCTGGACAGATTGCTCAGTGTCCGGCCTGGTCACCAGGAGGCCTCCGTGCCAGCCCATCTTCATCATCTACATAATCCGTCATCAGGTAATGTCCTCGATTTCATCTTCATTCTCAGCAGGCTCTACACAGGAATTGTCCCATACAGTACCAGGCTAGGAACTGGAGTGTCAATAGCCTAGAGGGCAGGGTGGGAATTAATTGAGTGATTAGAGCCACCTTTTCTTCCAAAGTGCACTGGATTTGAGATTTCTGGCCTGTGAGAACATTCTGCTTTTCCCCTCTTCAAGTAATTGTCAAGTAAAAATATGTGCCTTCTCATCTTCCCAGCAAACGTGTGGTGTGTTCCAGGTTGGAGCAAGAATATTACTGTTTCCACTAGCAAGGATTCTTAACTAGAGGTGTGTGGCAAAATCACCTAATAAGGAGTTTGTCTGTGTGATTGTTTTTAAATCAGGCATTCAATCTCCATCCCAGACCTACTGAACCAAAATCTTGGTGAGGGAACAGGGAAAATGGCCATGCTTTGTGTTAACACATGTAGAAAGGTTTACACATTTGTGGGTTGGGTCTCAACACAAACCAACAGCTTCTCCTTCTTGCCTCTTCCCCAGCTATCCAGTGCCCCTCATCTAAAGCTAAATGTCAAAAAAAAAAAAAAAAAAAACTGCATCTTTTGTTTATCCTTCCACAGATATTTTACACACATACATGTCTCCATTTTTAGATATGAAATATGTACATATTCCACCTTTTAAATAAATGTATCACACTAAAGAATTTATTTATGGCCAGGCGCAGTGGCTCAAGCCTGTAATCCCAGCACTTTGGGAGGCTGAGGCTGGTGGATCATGAGGTCAAGAGATCGAGACCATCCTGGTCAACATGGTGAAACCCCGTCTCTACTAAAAATACAAAAAATTAGCTGGGCATGGTGGCGCGTGCCTGTAATCCCAGCTACTCAGGAGGCTGAGGCAGGAGAATTGCCTGAACCTAGGAGGCGGAGGTTGCGGTGAGCCGAGATCACGCCATTGCACTCCAGCCTGGGTAATAAGAGTGAAACTCTGTCTCAAAAAAAAAAAAAGAATTTATTTATTTATTTGAGGCAGGGTCGCACTCTGTCACCCAGGCTAGAGTGCAGTGGCACAATCATGGCTCACTACAGCCTTAGTCTCCCAGGTTCAAGCGATCCCCCTGCCTCAGCCTCCTGAGTAGCTAGGACTATAGGTGCGCTCCACCACACCTGGCTCTGTGTGTGTGTGTGTGTGTGTGTGTGGTAGAGATAGAGTTTTACTATATTTCCCAGGCTGGTGGTAAACTCCTGGCCTCAAGAAACCCTCCATTCTCAGTCTCCCAAAGTGCTGAGATTATAGGCATGAACCTCCATGCCAAGCCTAAGAATTTATATTTTTATACAAACAAATATATATGTATCTATTCCCCACCTTATAAATAAATTTATCAAACTAAAAAATTTATTTTTATTTTTTAAATGGTCCATAGGCCGGGTACAGTGACTCACACTTGTGATCTCAGAACTTTGAAGGGTTGAGGCAGGGGGCTCAGTGTAGTGAGATCCCTATCTCTACAGGAAAAAAAAAAATAAGGAAAGATCCACAGGTGATTTTTTGAACCATTGTTAAAAAGCAGAGTCTGCAAAACAGCTTCCAAAACCTATTCGGTGCCACAGTACCTTAGTTTGTTTTTAAGTGAATAAATTGTGAATATTTTTAAATTATTAAATTTTATATAAAAATATAGAATTCTAGCTTTTCTCAAAAAACTAGAAAATCTGGCAACACTAAACCCAAATTCCCACATGGCAGTAATTGGCTGGATCTGAGTAACCACTGTCCACTTGGACACCACTGTCCCCAGTTCAGTTCAGTCCATGCCACTCTACCTTCTCTCCATGAAGTGTTAGACAGGCCTTATAAACATCTTTCAAGCCAGGCATGGTGGCTCGCACCTGTAATCCCAGCACTTTGGGAAGCCAAGGTGGGCAGATCACAAGGTCAGGAGTTTGAGACCAGCCTGGCCAACACGGTGGAACCCCCATCTCTACTAAAAATACAAAAACTAGCTGGGCATGGTGGCAGTCGCCTGTAATCCCAGCTACTCAGGAGGCTGAGACAGGAAAATTGTTTGAACCTGAGAGGCAGAGGTTGCAGTGAGCCAAGATCATGCCCAGCCTGGGCAACAGAGAAAGACCCCATCTCAAAAAAAATAAAATAAACATCTTTCAGTTGTTGTTTTTCCTACAGTATGATTAAGAGAACATTTATTTCTTGAACTCATTTTTCTCTAAGAGTAGAAAAATGAAAGACCAAGAGAGCAATGTGTTTTTAAAAAAGTAGAAAAGAGCCATATATTTTTTAGAATGAGAACATTCCTTTGTGTTTAATATGCAATGTGAAGCTGACTGTCTTCACCCTTTGACATGTACCCAGTGCTTGAAGGCTCTGACGTGGAATATGGCTCCCTTGCACATATTTTTATACATATTTAGGCACAGGATGAATATGGATAAGCACATTAAGGCTGTTTCCTGATGTCTGAGAAAAACTCCATTGAATATTTTGCTTCCACCACAAAACACTGGAGCACTTGGCTGGTGGCATGGGTAGTGTTTGCATTTTTCTGCAGAAGGATCAGGAAGGGAACACGGTGGTGTGCCACCTTTTGACACTTCAGGGCCTCAACCCATCCTGTTTTCCAGAGTTAGGCCTGTCCCGGCCAAACTAATACCTTCTGTTTTGAAAATCATGTGAAAATCTGAAAGTCTTGTTCTTTTTCCATTCCAAAGACAGCCTTGGACTGTCTCTTTTATATCAGCTTCCTGTAAAAGAAATCCAAAGTCACAGGGGCTTGAACAACATAGAAGTGTATGGCTCTCACAGCCAGGTGCGGTGGCTCACGCTGGCAATGGCAGCACTTTAAGAGGTGGATCGCCTGAGCTCGGGAGTTAAAGACCAGCCTGAGCAACATGGCAAAGTTTCATCCTTACAAAAAATACAAAAAAATATTAGCCGGGAGTAGTGGTGGATGCCTGTGGTCCCAGCTTCTTGGGGGCCTGAGGTGGGAGGATCACTTGAACCTGAGAGGCAGAGGTTGCAGTGAGCCAAGAGCACACCATTGCACCCTAGACTGGGCGACAAAATAAGGCCCTGTCTCAAAAAAAAAAAAAAGTTTATTGTTATCACATGAAAGAAGTCTGAAGTAGGCAGTTCCCAGACATTTGGTAGCTCCATGATCACAAGCAACATATGGTCTTTCCATCTGTGTGCTCCACCACCTATCCTATGGCTTCTTTCCTCAAGGGGCTGGTGGAGCAGGAGGAAGGAAGAAGAGAAGGGAAAAATGCACGTCCCCCATGTGAATCAGCTCCCATTAAGAAGTCATCTGGGCCGGGTGCTGTGGCTCACGCCTGTAATCTCAACACTTTGGGAGGCCGAAGTGGGTGCATCACAAGGTCAAGAGATCAAGACCATCCTGGTCAAAATGGTGAAACTCCGTCTCAAGTTAAAATACAAAAATTAGTCGAGCATGGTGGTACGTGCCTGTTATCCCAGCTACTCGGGAGGCTGAGGCAGGAGAATAGCTTGAACCTAGGAGGCAGAGGTTGCTGTGACCTGAGATTGTGCCACTGTATTCCAGCCTGGACGAGAGAGTGAGACTCCATCACAAAAAATAAGAAACATGTGAGCCACTGAGCCTGGCTTGAGAGGGATTCTAAAGCCATTCCGGGCTGGCTTCAAATTCTGGCTCTGCCACTTACCTTATGTTACTTAAAGTCTCTGAGGCTTTGTTTCCTCATCTAAAAAATGGGAGAAAATACCTAGCTCATAGGGCTGACAGTTGTTAAGATTAAATGAGTTGATAGGTGTAAGGTACTTAAAACAGTGACTTGCACATAATACTGTATATGTACACACACACACATTTGTTTTTTGTTTTTTGATATGGAGTCTCACACTGTCGCCCAGGCTGGAGTGCAATGGCACCATCTCGGCTTACTGAAACCTCTGCCTCCCAAGTTCAAGCGATTCTCCTGCCTCCTCCTCCCAAGTAGCTGGCATTACAGGCGCCCACCACCACGCCCAGCTAATTTTTGTATTTTTGGTAAAGATGGGGTTTCACCATGTTGTCCAGCATGGTCTCCATCTCCTGACCTCGTGATCTGCCCATCTCGGCCTCCCAAAGTGCTGGGATTATAGGCGTGTGAGCCACCACCCCCAGCCTTATTTGATTTTTTTTTTACTGTGTGTCAGGCCCTATGTTAAGCACTACACTGTACAGACAAGCTAGAGTGACCTTGGTTTTAAAGATGACATGTAAGTCAGCGTTCCAGTCCACTGCCTGTCTTCTCCCTCCTGCCCCACTTTATCCCAAAGAAGTACACCTCCCAGCCTCCCTCGCCAACTGGTTTCCGGGTAGTAGAGCAGGAGAAAGAGGGAAACCAGTAGTTCCGCTGTGTTCCTGTCTCCTTCAGCATCTGCAGGAGACTGCATTTCCTCCCAGCTCCCTCCACACAGTCCTTCACTCTGTGGTGCTGGCTCCCACCAGCTCCTGGACCTTGGTAACTCCAGCTCCTCCCATCATCCCTTCAGCCTAGCAGAGGCTACATCTCTCTACCATAGGTGATCTCTGGACTGTCCTTTCACCCTATCCTCTGTTTGGATTCTCAGTTTTCCCATCACCAATATTTCTCTATGAAATTCCCTCTGTTTGAAAGACCTAGAGAGGTCTCTATTTTCTTGGATAAACCCCAACTGATAAAGCAGAAATGTCATATTCCTGGGCCACAGTTTCCTTACACCGTGGGTACAGGAGCTGGGACCATTTTGTTTCATGGGGACCCATTTACATGGCTAAAAAAACTAAATGATTTGCTCCAAGTCTTTTTTTGTTTGTTTGTTTGTTTTGTTTCGTTTTTTCTTTTTTTTAAGAGACGGGGTCTTGCTATGCTGCCCAGGCTGGAGTGCAGTGGCTATTCACAGGCACGATCCCACTACTGATCAGCATGGGAGTTTTGACCTGCTCTATTTCCGACCTGGGCCGGTTCATCCCTCCTTAGGCAACCTGGT